GATTTGGAAAATATTTTCAAAAGAGAACCAAATTTTCTAAAAGAAGTAAAAGATTTTTAGAGAAACACAGAGCAGAAACGTGTGTACGATCAGTCAGCGCCCGAACGGTGATTTCCCAAAATACCCTTATATTATATGTTTATGAGATTGATATGATGTATTCTCTTGCTAGAGTGGGCTAGGTATTCCTATTAGGACTAGAGTGCCCTGATTTGTGATGCCTTAGCCTAGGGAGAGGTGAGCTGCTATGAGATGCTTGAGAGTGAATAGGTAGCAGCGAGGAGCTTATGAGAGATCTGTTAGAGAGTGGATTATGCATAGTAGAGTACTTGGGATTTGGGATCCGAAGAGGAGGACTTGGGGTGTATACTGATACGGTGCGGACAGTAGTATTGGGCCCGTACTACTGAAAACACCGGTCGGTGTACAGTCCAAGTAAGAATCTTTGGGATGCCAGGGATCAAGGAGGGATGAGTTATCGAGTGCGAGTATACTCGAGTGAATTTCTAATATATCGTATGTTGTATTTCAGAGGTAGATCATGGTGAGGACACGTCTTATGCCAGAGAGCAATGTAGCTAGTGATGAGGAGATCCGCTGGATCATCCATGAGGAGGTGGCTGCGGCCATCAGGGCAGAGATACCAGAGATGTTCGGGTCTATTAAGACCACGTTGATTGAGACTTTTGACGAGCGTTATGCTGCTCTTTCTGAGGCTGCTGTTGCAGCGGCCACCGCAGCTGTTGCTGCTGCAAGGCCGCAGGGTGGTGATGCGTTGCTGTTCCGAGAGTTCAGCAACACGAAGCCACCATAGTTTGATGGGACGCAGGATCCGATTGCGGCGATGAGATGGGTGCATGATATTGAGGGTTGTTTCTACACATGCTCATGCCCAAAGCACTTGAGGGTTCGATTTGCGCTGAACCAGCTTCGCCTGGGGGCGAAGGACTGGTGGAAGTTCACGACAGCACACTATTCTCCAGCAGAGCTTGCTGCGGTGACCTAGGAGAGGTTCACCACCATGTTTCGTGATGAGTACGTTCCTCCGGTGGAACGGGATCGGTTGGCATAGGAGTTTTTGACCCTCAAGCAGGTTACATAGTCCGTTACAGTTATCACCAGGATGTTTCATGAGAGGGCGATGTTCTGCCCTGAGCATGTGTCATCTGAGCAGGCACGTATGAGCCGTTATTTGAGTATTTTGCGGAGGGATATTCAGGAGTTCGTGGCGAACTCCTCGTACCGGACATTTGTCGAACTTCAGGCGAATGCACAGAAGAGGGAGATCGAGCTAGAGACATTTGCGGAGGGATAACCACCTCATAGCCCTAATCGCATCATGTGTACCATCAAACGTTGGGGGCTTTGTATTATCAAAGTCCCGGTACTGGAAAGGCCTGTTGGCTCCTCCTCCAACCCCTGCCGTTGTTACAGCCGAAGTGGCTGCAACGGCAGCTGTCTCTGCTAGAGCTGCATATCGCTCATCAAAGTACTCAACCATCGTGGTCTTAATCGACCCAAACATATCTGGTAACTACGCTCGGAATGCAACAACAATCTCATCGTGCATAATCTCCCGGATCCTGGCATCCAATTCCTCGGTCCCTATCTGTACCACGGGCTCAGGTGCTACCGGCACCTCCAACCCTCCGTCTCCCGACCCCGATCCTGATCCTGATCCTGATCCGGATCCAGAAGCAACATGTCTCGTCACCACCATACTGAAGTATATATACAAGTCATCATATAAATAACATAATGTCGGGAGACCAAAATCCACAAACCATAGGGGTTGTGATTTCCTTGCTACACGTATGGGTCCTGTGCTTTCAGTAGTACGGGACCATACTACCTTCCATACCTACCCATATTTGTCTCAAGTATCACCACAACGCCCTAACAGTATCATCAACATAGAAATGCGTTCAACCCTCACTTATAGAGGAATATCAACTATCTCGCATCTAGTCTCACCACTTCTCATGAATCAAACATCCATGAAACTTCCATCATCCCCTGCAGTGCTAGTGCATGCTAGCTGCACATAACGCTGGACCCAATAGACTTTCGAATATCCAATCCTACCCGAAGGCCGAATCAACATTCTCAGGCTATAAGGTCTTTATTATGCACAACCGTGATGCATACACTAAACATCTACAGTTATGATGTCAATTCCACATACAAGAAACCCTAGGCTAATAGGCATCATATAATCAGGCAAATCTATCATGCGATTCCCGAAGATCCCTAGCCTGGCACTAGCATGTTGTTCTAACATATCAGAATATCAAATAACTGTATGGTATTTTGGGGTTTACTTACAGGCTCCGGCTGATCGTACCCTCTGCTCCCTCCATCCTTTATTTTGAAAACCATTTTAAAAACTTACTTTCCAAAAATCTCCTTGATTTGAGACTGGATTCACACGAGTGTTCCTCCAAGTCACTCAAACCAAGGCTCTGATACCAACTTGTAACATCCATAAATTTTACACCAAATTTAAACTTTTTCAATCATAAATAAAATCAAACAACGTTTATTTACAAAAATGATTTCAAATCAATATCCATCAGAGTGTCCCAAAATCATAACATAAGGATGAGGAGCGGTACGGTCACGCCTTCGCCTTGTTATGATCTCCTGAAGTACCTGAAACAATAAACTAAGTCTGAGGGCTTAGTGAGCTACCCCCCAAAATACCAATACCACACTGACAATACCATATCAGTAATAAGCAATTAATCAACATGCATACTGGGCCATCGGCCTAATTGGACTGCCCTACCGGGCCTACAGTCTGTCTGGATCTATCCCGAGCCTTCGGTATGACTGGTCCGCCACGTGGTCCTACAGTCTCCCCGGACCGCTCATAGGGTATGTTGGCCTTCAGCACAAAGCAGGACCGCCTCAACCCAACCAACAAGCAAATAACCATGTGCGCATAACTATCATATACTGGCATATACAAACATCAAACATATTTATCTCACTGATCATCAATCATAGAATTCTCCTGTAACTAGACTACCGACCTAGCAAGTCACTAACATACCAATCCCCTACGGATCATAAGAGCATAACGTACTGTCTACCCTGATTCCGATCTAACAGATCATAAGCACGTGTAGCATACCATAACAATAACAACTAAACGGCCGACCTTGGTGCCGTAGACCCTATCGATATAGTGAGGATAACTCACCTCGCAGATGTCGACTCGAAAGTTAAACTCCAACTCTCGGATCACTTGACACAGACTCCACCACCTATTATCATAGTACAACATACTCATAAGTCCTTAACCTTATAAGGTACTCCATAACCCACTAGTCAACCCCTGGTCAAAGTCAAAGTCCTCAGTCAAGGTCAACAATCCATGTTGACCTTAACTCGCCGAGTACCCTCGGCTACTGGCCGAGTTCCTTGAAGCACTTTCCAACTCACCGAGTCATCGGGGTGACTCGTAGAGTTCCTTCGATTCTTGATCAAACTTTAAGGCCACCCGTCGAATTTCCTCCTTGCAACTCGGCGGATACACACGCATACATATCCTGGAGAAAACTCATCCGACTCGCCGAGTTGTTCTTCAAATCGTCGAGTCTATGGCAATCATCATCGGACTCGTCGAGTTGTTCCTCCAACTCGTCGAGTTCACGACCATCTTCATGTGACTCGCCGAGTCAACCTTGCCACACGCCGAGTCCATTCAGTCCTTTTTCCATACAGACCTATTTTGAGCCATGTAACGGCTCTAAATCACAGATCCAAGCTTCTAGGGCATGCTTAACACATAAAGTTGCAAACTTTACGTGCATGCATGGCTATAAAGGCTCTAAATGCATATTTTAAGTTCTTAATGGAGCTTCATGCTCAAGAGGGACCTCAATCATGACCAAAATTGTAACTTTATTCTTCTAGAATCCAAGGAGGGTCCAGATCTGAAGTTACAACCTCAGATCTAGCCCATAGCTCATCTTACCAACTTAATATTCCAAAAAGCCCTAAACTCAACCAATAGAAGAGATCTACAAGGAAAAATGGCGATTTGGGTACCTCTAGAAGATGATAACTGAGATAAGTGTTGATTCCCACACTCTACTTGCTCCAATCTCCTTCTCCTCCAAGCCTTCTCCCTCCAAGGATCCTCTTTTCAAGCTTCAAACACACAATGGGCACACACACACGTATTAGGGTTCTCAAGGACTCTCTAGAACTGTAAAGAGGCCCAAGGGAGGCTAAGGTTCCTTTAAATAAGGTGCAAAACCCCGGGATTTAGGGTTTCATCTGTCAGCTCCTACTCGCCGAGTCCCAATATGGATTTGTCGATTAGGTCACTTAACATGCGATCCCACCCCGCTGCTAGTCGACGAGTAGGGTAACCAACTCGTCGAGTAGGGCTTAACCCAAGAAATCTTATTTAAAATAATACCTGAGAATCGGGACGTTACATAACTCTAGTCTTAAAATGATTCTACACGTAGTAAATGAGCGAAAGTGTTTATAATTTACCAAAAAAAGATCACGAGATGCACAAAATTGAAGGAAAACGAGGAAAAAGGTGAGGGTGGTGTATAGAAGGAACGAGGTGGGAAGATGAAGGAAAATACGATCAAGATTAGAGAAAGAGAAGATCACAAATGGGAAAAAGAAGGCATCATCTCGATCAAGAGATCATTTTACAGGGATTAGATCAACAAAAAAAATGAAAACCAAGTCAAAAGTTTTGACTAAATCTAATATGTAAAAGCCAATCTAACATGTCAAATAGATTTTTTTTGGACCTAGACTTCCTTTGGACCCAAACCCCTTAGCTTTTGTGGTGGAAAAAACTAAAATGTCATTGATTAATGTTTGTCTTAATTTTTTAATGTAAAAATGACCAAAAGGGATAATTATTAGGATAATTGAACTTGAAGTTATTTTGAACAGCCAAAACACTTTTTTTAGTTTATTGGCTTTTAGAAAAAAATCAATAAGCAAATAAGCCAATTTGAGAAGCCATCTCAAACACCTGCTAAATATAACCACATCCCAACTAAAAAACAACAGTTACAAAGGTGAATCATCAAAATATACAAAGATTAGCGAAACAAAAAGTTACAACTACAAACTGCCTAAACCCCTTTGTCTAAGATTTCTTGGGCCTTCCTCTTCCTCTTTTGGCCGGTGTTGGTGTTGGTATTGCTCCTCCCTTTGTGGCGGCTGATGGGCAGCCTTTGCCACCTTTCTGCTTCTTCCTTCCAGCTTTTTCATCACTACCGTTTTCCTCTTCGACTTCTGACTCAGGTGGCTCCTCAGATTTCGTCTTTCTCTTGTTGGATTTTTCAGATGTTGCTCCTCCCTTTGTGGTGGCTGATGGGCGGCCTTTGCCACCCTTCTGCTGCTTCCTTCCACCACACCCATTTGCTTCTCCATCACTATCATTACTGTTTTCCTCTTCAATTTCTGACTCAGGTGGCTCCTCAGATTTCGCCTTCCTCGTGTTGGATTTTTCAGTCTTCTTTTTAGGTTTCTTAGCAGTTGAAGGTTCTTCAATCACTGAATCAAAGGAATTCATGGTTAGGGTATAAATTAAAGAGAGAGAGAATCTAAAATTATGAAATTAAATCTCATTTGTGAAATGCAAATGAGCATATGCATACCTTCACTGGGATCTTTGCCATCATAAACATCAAGCTGTAGAAATAGAAACAACAAGTCAACTTGGAATTAAATAAACTAAAACCAATAAACAGATTATTTCGATTCCTACGGAATTAACCATTCCATTCCTCCCCTGTTTCCATAGTACTACAGATAAAGAATACCTTGTCAAGCCGTTTCCCTACATTTGATCTATCAACCACCACCAAGGAATGTGCTGAACCACATGCAACACTACACAAACACAAAAAAATAAATAAATAAAATAAAATAAAAATACGTAATATGTTCATACGTATATATAATTAATTATATATGTATGACTAAAATACAAACCCGATAACATGCATATCCTCAAGATCATCAACCTTTTTGGGTATCGCTGAAGATCTGCAACCCCATAAAACACAACAACTTAGCAACCATGAAATGATTTTTTTTAACTGAAATAATAAAGAAAAATATATATTATATATTATATACTTCTGTTGATTAGGCCCATATCCAAGTTCACCAGATTGTGCATTGCCCCAACTTATGCATGAAGTATCCGCACCAACAAAATAATGCATATTCCCTGAATCCATGCATCTTATGTTCCAACCACTGTAACATTACAACAGATAGATGAGTATTTATTTAAAATACAAAATTAAATGCAAGAAATATCATTTGGAGAAGAAGGTCAAAAGTCAAAAGTCAAAACCTGAGATCCATGAGAGGTTTAGGGTACATCCAATTATCACCAGTAACCTTTATTTTACCCCACATGTACATCTGCCCTGCACCTGGATTACAAAATAATAATAATAATAATAATAATGAAAAGAATTAATAAAATAAATAAATAAATAAAAGTGTTTAAATAAAGAATTGAAAGCATACCAGCAGTAGAGGCAGAGTTTACACAACCAGCTGAAATAACCGCAGTGGGTGGTAAAGTATTATGCTTTGTGAAAACATCAACACGCCGAGGGGTAAATTCGTCTTTTTGCTCTCTATGTCCAAGCCTGTTATGTTATGTTATCAAGATTTTAGATGTTGCATCAACTCGAGCGTACTATTACTGATTAAAGAATGGAATTGGAATGGGAATTGGAATCTGAAAGAATTGAATGGAATGGAATTAGTCATATTTTACCTTCCATATCCTCCATTTCCCCACCTACAATATATTCAAGATGCAGCATTAGTCATATTTAAAAAAAAAAAAAAAACATATAATCATAAACTAGATACATGATAACTTACGTATAAAGATAGCCCTTTGAACCCAATGCAACTGAAGAGTCAAAAACACTTACAAAGTAAAAACAAACAAATGTATAACAAAAGAAAGGTATAAAGAATGAGCAAATCTTTTAAAATTTTTTAAATGTAAAATTTAAACTACCTGTATGATTAGACCCACAAGCAATTTTGATTATTGTTTCCTCAGAAAGAGAAGTTATTGCCTTAGGCACCGGTTGAGCTTCATAAGCAAGCTTCACAGAGCTTTCCTTCATGTTGTACTACATAAAAATAAACACAATCCATTAAAGATTAAAGATTTTATAATTAAACTAAAACATGATAAAAATGTTACACAAATACCTCATTATCAGTTCCATGTCCAAGTTGACCATACTGTGGATGTCCCGCAGTTCTAAAAACCAACAAAAAGAAAATTATTTAAACATGTTAACAGGTGTAAATCGAAGAGGGTAAAATTGACAATTTACAGTATCGAAGCGCCTTCAATGGAAGATAACCAAACAGTAAAATCAGCCCCACATGAAACATCTTTTACGTCCGTTATAAGACAACGTACTGGAGATAATTCAAACTCTACATAATCAAAAACACGTGTTAGCATGAAAGAATCTTCTAGAAGCCAAGAAAATAAGCACGTGATTATAAAGAAAACAGAGGAAATCCCCATTTTTGGTTGACCCCGTTCCAAGTTGACCATGTTTGTTCCAACCAAAAGAGAAAGAAAGGCCATCTTCAGTTTGAACAACAGTATGACCTAACCCACTTCCTGCTTTCACAGCTTTGAAACTGAAAAAGATTTGAAAATTTTCAAAATCGAAAAACAAATACAGAAATAGACTAGAATCGAAGAGTATAGTTTGCTTAAAGGGTATCCAAGGTTTCGAATCTTTGTCTTACTTAGACAAACCAGTCACGAGTGTTGGCTTCTCTCGAATGATTTTATCACCGTGTCCAAGTTGCCCCTTCTGCAAATATAGCACAGTGATTTACAGTTTAAATCATACGAGATTTCGATTTTGATGGCTATTTTGGTATATGTGAGGAAATGATATGAACTCACGTCATTTCGTCCCCATGTGTAGCAACGTCCATCGATATCCAATGCCACACAATGACTAGATGCTTCATAAGATGTTCAAGAACAGTATAAAGTTTCGGGTTTTAACAGTGTATCTGTTGAATTGGTCCAAAAATGAAAAATCGTTGAGCGGGACTTACCGCAGCCTGATGCAACGAAGCGGATGTCGACGCCGACGAGAGGACGAAGTCGTGTTGGAGAAACTAAGTTGCTTATCGGTGGCACGTGACGGCGGTCAGCGGTGCCCCAATATGTCGTACGACAGAACAACAGTTCCCCTCCTTTCACATGCTCTTCTTTCTTCTCTGTCTCCAGCGCTACCGACGACGACATTTCCGGTCAAACAAGAAAAACGACAGTCCGACAGGTAAACCACCGAAAAACGACAGCAAAAGTAATGACCGAAATAGAAAAGAGGGGTTTTGCTAAAACCTTACTCGAAGAAAGGGAATGTAAAGCGCTATAGGAATGAATTTAAAAAGGAGAGAGAAAGAGAAGAAATGGGAAGCTATTTATGTTTAAACTTAGTTCAACAAGCTATTTGGTCCCTTTACCCTGTTACCAGTATCATTTTGTTTCTTTGTGAGGATGGAGTCGTGCAGGATACAAAGCCGATTGTGGATTATACCTAGATCTTAACCTTCATATAGCTAAACTTCGAATATATTTCATCACGACTACGAATTCGGCAATCCATTAAATCATGGAAAACCTTTCCAACTTTTACCCAAAAATTAGGAGTTATAGCATCTGGGTCTTCTGAAGCAGCTACTCATGTTCATGCTAAGTTATTTTCTTTATTTTCTAACCAATTCTTCCTTTTAGGAAACATTTGTTTTGAATGATAATACAAAACAAATGTGTAATTGTGAGAAAAGAAAAAAGAAAGTGTGTGACTATATAATAGAAAATGTGGTATTTATAGAGGATGTTTAATATGTTTAAAAGGTAATATATATATATATATATATATATATATATATATATATATATATATATATATAGACACACACATTACAAATGAAAATGTAGTTTTTGCAAACACAACCAATAGGATTGTCTGCTTCAATTCGTGATATGCACAACAAACCACCACGAAAACCATGAACCACGACCGGTCGGAATGGTGTGCACGGTCGTGGTCGTAGTCCAGGTCAACCACGAAGGTGGTCGTGCTATCCATACTGGATGGTCTAAGTGTGACATTCAAATGTCGATATGTGTGTATTGTGTTATGGGGTAAGTTTTTTTAATTTGTTTTTTGGTTTCTTGATAGGACATTAAACGATTAAATTTCCTTTTAACTTTTTCATAATAAGCTAGAAAAGTGTCTCGCTTTGCGAGGGTTAGAAGCCTTCAATGAAAAGTTAATTTGTATTGTTGTTGTATGTTAACAGTATGAAACATGATTATATACGTATTTTCATTTCAATAATTGTTTGTTAAATTTGTCCAACGTGATATCATAGCATCTATCTATTAACCATTTTATAAACTGACTCTATATATATATATATATATATATATATATATATATATATATATATATATATATATATATTCAGGTTCATTTGAGACCATTCTAATTTTGTGAGACCGTGAGACCAAATCTAAAAATAATTTTAAAATGTAAAATAAATAGAAAAATCCAAAAATTCTTTTTTTAAATATTATTTTCGAAACTTGAATTAACTAAAAAAATTAAAAAATAAATAAAAAAAAAATCCTGTTTTTTTTTTTTGAAAAATACGTGAAATATTATAAATAGAATATTACACTGACATATTCTAAAAAATAATTTTAAAATGCAAAATAAATGGAAAAATCTAAAAAATCTTTTTGTAAATATTATTTTCAGAACTTGAATTAACTTAAAAAAATAAATAAAATAAAAAAAATCCTATTTTTTTTGAAAAATACGTAAAATATTCTAAATAGAATATTACACTGTACATATTCTAAAAATAATTTTAAAATGCAAAATAAATGAAAAAATCAAAAAATTCTGTTTTTAAATATTATTTTCGGAACTTGAATTAACTAAAAAAAATTAAAAAATAAATAAAAAAATGCGTCTCACGGTCTCACAAAATTAGACCGTTTCACATGAACCTAACCATATATATATATATATATATATATATATATATATATATATATATATATATATATATAGAGAGAGAGAGAGAGAGAGAGAGAGAACAACGAATATCTACTTTGTTGCTATGGCACAAAATATAAAATAATCTTAATAAGGATAGACAGATTGAATAATGGAATGGGTACGTTGCATTTTGCACAAAAGGTATTAGTCTATGAAGCAATAAACTCACATCACAAAATCAAGATTTATTTTGAAAAGCTCTAAATGAAGTGCAGTTAAAGGACGATATTATTAACATTCAAAAGTAGAAAACCACGAAAAACCTTATATGGAACCTATGATATCCTAAGGATATTTAGTTGTGTATATACGTTTTATGCAAGTTGCGTTAATAGAGGTCGACACATCAATATCCATTAGCATTGCTTTGCAAATGCAAGTGAAATGTACCGAATTATGAGTATAGTAAACTCAAATTTCTAAGCATATAATAGGTGATTAGGAAAATTAGTAAATTACTTTCGTTACCGTATACAAAACAAAAGGTGGCTACTCTACAAACATCTAATAGTTTATACCATGAAAGACAAGACAACCTAAAAAAGATTAACAATTTAAAAATCATATTTTACATTTTATTTTATATTAAAATTTAATTATATTTAATTTAAAGAACTAAATCGATAAACCTTAAAGGGTTCAATAATATGTTTGTTTCTTTGAAAGCCTCTATGCTCTTTCTGCAATAATTATTTTAGGGCATGCTAAAAAAAAGAAAGAAAAAACATGATCAGAAATGAAAGGAAATAGCAATGTACATTGATATATTAAGGAATAATAGATCTTAAATGTTTATGTACCTTGTGACAACCGTCAAATTTTGGTCGGGTCTAAGTTAACAGTTCAAACTGATGAACTCATTTAGTGCTTGTATGATAGGGTATATTCTATGATTTCTAATGTACAACTTTTGATCATAATACAAAGTATCACTCAGAAGATTCAAATGTTCAGAAATTTCAAACCCTAATCAGGGTGAGTAAAGTTATGACTTCATAAAGCATTATTAAGCACCCTTCGGGGGTGTAAAACACTCATAATGAAACATAATTGGGTTTACGAACCTTGCATTACGGGGCCAAACACTAGTAAAGGCCATCAGCCAAGTCTCTCTCAATCTCTCTCATTCTATCTTTCTCTCTACTATTTGATAAACACCTGGGCCATCCTGACACTTCAATTAGTTGAAATCCCTTGAAACAAGAAGAAAATACGAAAAACAGCACAATGGGAGTGAAACCCTCTCAAGAGGTGAACCCTCCTCAAGAAACGAACCCTTCTGATGGGAACTTTGTGCCTAGCCGGGAAGATTCGCCCTCGCCCTCGTTCCGAACCTCCTCTCGCATGAAGCTACTTTCGCATCGAAAGTCACCTTCACACTTTCTCCACCCCACCTTCGCTGCGAATCCTCCCGAAACGAACCCTCTCCTTCACCTACGAATCCTCTCGGACTGAACCTTCCCTCCTGCCACGAATCTCCTCGCCCACAAACCTACCTTCGCATCAACAACCTCTCACCCTTGCAGATTCACTTCTTTTCCCGGTTTTTGACCACTTTCGCGTTTTAAGCCCGTTTTTGATGATTATGACGGAGGATTTTCACCCAAACTCGTATTTTGACATATTAGACCCCATAAACTCATATTTTATTTCTATTTTGGGGAAATTCTTGTTATAGATCATATATTTTGTACAAGATATCATCTATGGGTTTGTTGACTAGTCTAAGAAGTTATGACACCAAGTCATCCCCATACCCACTTTATGTTACTATTCACTCTCTATCTAGTCAAATCATTGTCCTTTCTACTCTTCCCTAACACTCTACTAGATTTTCTTACATCCAATCCACATAAAATCTATATCCCCCACATTTCCCCAAAGTTTCATTTGTCATATCCAAAAATCAAATACTTGCTCTCTCTTTCTCATTTATTCTCTCTGGAACCAAAAACTCCCAGGAGGTCACAAGTTTTTCCCCTCACTCTCGGTAAGATCTTCATTATTACTCTTAAATATTCTACATTCATTCACTTAAATCATGGATTTCTTACACAAATATCATCATATTTGTTCTTAGGACCTTCAAATCCATAAGCATTCTCCAAGTGTTCTTGACTTGGAAACCCATTTTCTTCAACCATCCATCTCAGGGGATCACTCAAGGTGAGTTCATACCCCCATCTTTTCATGTTTTCTTCTAGCTTTATGGGGGAGAATACAAGTTACAACACCAAAACATGCTCAAACTCAAATAACAGCTTTCAACAGAAAAGTTATGGTCCAATCACGAGCTGTTTTTACCACCTTAAATCAATACTTTTCAAAAAATGTTCAATATGAAAATAGTTCAGGTTTATACATTTCAAATGACTACTTCTAGATGTTTATACGATGTTTCTACAATTTATGGTGATTTTTACAAAACTGTCTATCACTACAGAAATGATTTCGGACTAGTCAGTGAAGATGGCCCCTTTCACACTGGTTAGAGACCATTAAAAATCATAATAAAATTTGTGAGCATAGTAGACACATTTTCTGAACTTCCGGAGTTTACGGATTTAGATTTTGAATCCCGATGATTTTTCTGTGATTTTTACAAAAATAGTGACAGAAAAGTTAAAAACGGTTACAAGTTTACTAACAGTTTGTAATTTATTGAGCAAAGTGTTTATCAATGATGACTACATATTGACTTGTGTTTCCTGTTAAGTTACACTTATGAAACATAAAACTCATCCATCGCAAGGGTTTTTATTCATTACAAACATATAAGATAAACTATAATAAGTATAGTTTATGTTTTGTTACATTACAATTTACTATGAAAGGTTTAGTTTTCACTACAAAAGTGTTTTTCATTAACTACAAACATACATGATAAGCTATAATAGGTATAGTTTATGTTATATCAAATCTATGAACTTACTAAGGAAGGTTATATTCCTACTACAAAAAGGATTTTTAATTAAACTACATGTAAACTCGTTAAATCCGGTTGTGAGGCACTACTTCATTGTACTCTTAGCGTACTAGTTAAAATGTTGTAGTTATAACTAGAGTCTTTAGTAGGGAGAGTGTGATATGTGTATATAGATCTATATTATGATTGAAAACCCACACCTTAGTTCCATGCAACATCTAGACCAGCAGGTATGGGGTGACAAATGTCATAACATTCTGACGCCTAAAGAATGTCGTAACATGTTACTATGTCAAGCAGTATGGTTATAATAACTCACATAGGGAAATAACGACACATATAGTTTACGGGGATCTCTAATGGTTTTATTTATATAAAACTGCATACAGTATTATAAGTATGGAAAAATACTTGTACATTTCAATCTTTGGGTCTTAAGACTGCAACTCATTTTATGAGGAAAATATTTGATTTTCTTGTGCATACACTACATTTACAAAGAAAGGGTTTAAACTTTATGAAAAAAAGCTT